CAACTCTTCTTACAAGACAATGAATCCCTACCAGAAAATGAAATCACTAATATTGGGGATGGAAAAAAAATTTAAAAGGTGTAAAATAGAAAAAGCAAAAAGAGACTACATATATAAGATCCTCTACTATTCTCAACCTTCCCAGTGCAACTTCCCATATATTTGCTAAACAAGGTCTTATTCAAAATGGCTTACATAAACGTGTCTTCCTGCAGTTCAAGCTGTGGCCCACACCTGCAGTGTGAAGAAGCTGATGCACGGTGGGAAGAGCAAACTGAAGCTGCTGTGTGCCTATGCTGAATCACTCCGAGATCTAAAAAAGCTTCTTGCCAAAAAAAAAAAAAAAAAACAAAAAAAAACAACAAACTGATGAACCAGTCTTACTTTAGGGCAGATGGAATAATTCATGCTCTCATTTTTATCGTTAGTGCTGAGAGGGAAAGACAGATTTGTTTTCACATGGTTATTGATTATTAACCAGCTTTGTGAAAGGTTACCTTTCTGCTAGATACAGCCGTGGTGGGGGGTTAAAAATCAATCCCTGGGAAAGCTCTGTTTCCCAGTCAACTTCTTGTCCCACTACAGTCCCTTGTCACAGATACAGTTTTCCTGTGTTGGTTTGAGCAGAGATGAGAGAGAAAAAGAGATTATCTTGAATATGTTTCACTCACCTTCAGTACTTCTTTTCTGCCTAAATGTGGATTCCACAAAAGGTGTTGAGCACTGAGAAGTCGTTAAATATTATACAGATACAGAAAGTCAAACCAGATTACTTTAGGGAAGTGAGACTGAACTAGACTCCTTACAATATTTTATACTCTAATTAGACAGCCAGAGTAGTGGGAGGAATGATGAAACTATCACTGGTCATAAAGTAAAGGGAGATAATTGAGTAGGGCTTCACAAATTATTTGCATTGAGGTGCAAATAAAATGCTCCTGTCACCTTTCCTAGGGGAAAAAGGTTATACTGCATCTAGGTGGTTTTACATTTCACTGATCTCAGAAGCCTGCAGTGATGCCTGTCAGGCACTACTGTCGAGGAAGTGGACAACGCTTCCAAAATACAGTGACTCACATTAAGCCCCTATATTAACCATTTAAAGATAAGAACATTGAAAATGCCCTTGAATTTCAAAAGGCATATTGTACATGTTGGCATACATTTTAAAACCACATAGATATTACACTAGGCAAGCGACTTTGCTTTGCAAACCCCTCTCCATTCGGAGAGATTGGTATTATATTGCAAATTTTTAGGCTTCATATAATATGGAATAAGACTAAACCACAGAGATTGCCTCTTCTCTGTCAGGTGAAGAGCAGGCCAGAGAATGTGATCAGATCTTAACAAGTCCTTAAAAACATACTTGAATCTAATATGGTAATTCAAGTATTGCAGTGGGGTTATTGTGTTACTGGTGCTTGAATACCTAAATTCCTGCACTTGTGTTGAGGATAATTACAACCTGCTGTTCTACTTAACATTGCTGCTATCACCACCATCCTTCGATTACTGGTACTGAATCATAGATTCGTTTTTGTTTAATCTTTTGGAACAGCAAACTTACTATAAGAATTTTTATTTATGCAGACAAATATCTTAAGGGTGAGTGTCAGAGGATGGGGCCAGACTTTTTCAGTAGTGCCCAGCAATAAGACAAGGTGCAACAGGCACAAACTGAAACATGAAATGATCCGTTTGAATATGAGGAAAAATCTTCCTTGCTTTGAGGGTGACAGAATACTGGAACCAGCTGGCCAGAGATGTTGTGGAGTCTCCTTCTCTGCAGATATTCAAATCTGGAGGTTGTTCTCAGCCTGAACTACAATTGTATTGTAATGGTTGTGGCACCATACTCATACATCAGACACAACAGTGAGCTGGAAGTGTGAGCTTTGCAGCTCATTGATAAAGCTAGGTGACCTAAACACACCAGTCATAAATATCCCCAAATTATGAGGGCTTCTAAAGTCCTTAAAAACTTCCTAGAGCAGGTAAAATACAGGACCTCCAGCTGAACTGCAGTGTATGTCTGGACAGGCTTTAAGGTGAGGGAGAATCTACCTGATCCATTGTTAATTTGTGTTAATGTGCAACATGTCCCTTACTTTTCTCTATTCTCAAAGGTTAAAACTTGGTTGTACATCTATCAGTGGTAAGAATATGTGTACCAAACATGTTTTCTTCACATGGTTACTTACAGACTGAGGACAGCCACGTTTCTTGTCACTCCAAGCCTGCCAAAACCACAGACTTGGGGAGCAAGGACAGGGTAAATTCTCAGCAGGGAGATGAAAATGTATAGACAGGAGACCCTGGGCTCGCCATTCAAAGTCTACATAAAAGCTAGAGGAAATGATGCACCTTTTAATTTCTTAAGTTGTGCCTACACATCTCAAGGCTCTTCTTGTTGGAAAATTAAGACTGATTAAATGTAGCTAGGTGCAGGGTCAGCAGTGTCACACACAGCAGCACTTAATCTGGAGAACATGTTACCACAAGGTGGTGGGAGGCAAAATGTTTACATAAGGTTCTAGGGGAGAGTTAAAGTGTGGAAAAATCATCTGAGGACTAAAACATTCACAGCGCTCAGGAAATCCTTGGAGTAGGAAGTTCTGGGAGTTTGGTAGAAGATATTTTGGTGTCTTATCTCATATGGACACCCTGCTGCGACTGTCTGAGGTGATGTGTATGGATGCAGTGATGTCTGCAGAGCCCAGTTTTGAGGCAAGCAGGGACATTGGTCATTCCCATCACTCTCATTTGCCTCTTCCATCACTCCACCCATTTTCCACATCAAATGGGTACTTGGGTGGGACCCACTCACAGAAACTTCAGAAACTTCTCCTGGGAACCCACAGCTGTGGAAGGACTCTTAAGCCAAGTATCAGTGATTGCATCCCAGGAGGAGGAAGAAGCAGGTGGCTGAGATCCCTGTGCTCGGGCTCCAGCTGCGCTCAGGTTCCCCATCCCGTCGACCCCCGGCCACCGGACACCACCATCCCAGGGCCTGGACAGGGTCCTCAGTGCCGGGATACCCAGCGGGACCGTTTTCCTGCACTGCAGCTCGCCTCCTTGTTGTTAGAACGGCAAAGCGTGTCCTTATCGCCTGCTCACGCAGGCAGAATGAAAGAGAATTAGCTCTAAATTATACGAAATTCATTTGCTTTGTAGGGGGAAGTGTTTGCTCTTTTAGAAACGTTTGTTATATAGAGAGGACCGCATTAAGACATCGGGTAATGGTCCTCCCTGGAGATGAATCAATTTGCTCTGGGTTTTATGGCTTCGCGTTTGTTTGTCCGCGCCGATTCCCCGTGGAAAACCCGGAGAAGTGCGTGCTCCGGGGAGCAGATCTCTGGAGAAGGGGCTGGTGATGCTGGGCTGAGGTGGGAACACTAGACGTCTCCGGATCAAAGGACACCCGTGCCTTCAAGAGACGTAAGTGGAGGCATCGCGGACGTGCTGAGCCGGTGGGGAGAAATTCCCACTAAGGGAGCTGTGGATTCCCTCTGGCCGCACACTGGCTGTGGGCTCCACGGGGACACGTACCCTGCTCAGCATGCCAGGGGATGGAGGGGGCGGGTGCCGGGAGCGGGGAACCCGAGCAGCAGCGATGTCTATCGGTAATTCCCGCTAATAAAATACTTTTTCGCTATCCACACTATAATTGGTTTACAGCCTTTTTTGTTTATTTATCCATAAGAGCTGCTGTTAAATGGCTCGGGAAAGCAATCGCTTAATGGTTCAATATTGAATCAAAGGCTCAGTGTGCTTTCTAAGAGATGGGGTACCCGCGTGAGTTCAGAGCGGAAACTCATTTTAAGTGTAATGGACTGGGCGGGTTTATGATCCCACGGAACCGGGGGCAGGAGCGAAGTACCGGGACTCTGCTGCCTCGCCGCTCAGGGTGTGCATCGCCACTGGCCGAGCCGAGCCGAACCGAGCCGGGCCGACCGCACCCACCCTACACGGAGCGGCGGGTGCGCGCCCCGACGGCGGCGGCGGAGCCCCGGTGTCGGGGGAAGCGGCGGCGAGAGGAGGCGGGACGGGCACATAGGAAGCATGCCTGCGCCCGAGCCGGAGAGAGCGGCGGCCGGGCCGAGTGCAGGGAGGCAGGGAAATGATCTTTGTCCCTTTCGGTAGCTCTCCGCCTCCTCATAGCCTCGTCACCAAGTCAACCGGCACCAGCTTGGAGCAGATTATCTCCGAGGGTCAACACATTGCAGCCCAAGCCGCGGGAAAGGCTCCCAAATTTACCCCTTGGGCAAACAATCCGCTGCCTATCGCTCACTCTGGTGATAGCATTGTGGTCCCCACCGGCCGCATCCCCCCGGACAGGGGTGAATGGGCAAACAGCCGGTCCTGGCCTTCACCCAGGGCTCCAGCACACCGGTCCCCCTGAGGGAGCGCCCTCTCGGCACAGCCTGCCCATCCCCAGACACCGCATCCTTAGCCGAGATGTCCCTGCAGGCCAAAGTGCCCAGATGTCAAACCCTTCAAGGAGATGAATCTACCCAGGCCTCGGAGGGATTTCCCCTCCGTGCCCAAGGGGTGTTGGCGTATAAGCCGCTCCTGGTCAAGCGAGTGAGAGAAGGGAAAGGCGTGTTTAGGGACCATCCCTCCCGGAGCGCCCCGCACCTGGGGGTAATCCCCGACCCCCTACCGGGCCCCGCAAGTCCTCCGCCGCGGGGTTCCTCATCCCAAAGCAGGGAGCGGCACCCGGCAGAAGGGTAGGGGGTCCTGCGGCCGGCCCGACTGAGGGCGAGGGGTTTGTGGGACATGGGCTACCCCGGGTGGCCTCTTACGGTCCGCGCCCCGCCCCGGAGGGCTGCGGGAGGGCTCACGTGGGGAGAGGCGCCTATGGGGAGGCGGCGGGAGCCGGGCAGGGCGGTGGGGCCCGCCGGGGCTGCCAGCTGTCAAAGAGGCATCCCGGGCGCCGGGAGCGGGAGCAGCCCTATGTGTCCCTAAGCTGAGAGACCCCCCCGACCCTGCTCGCCATGAACACCGAGGAGCAGTATTACGCCTCGGCGCAGCTCTACAAGGAGTCGTGTGCTTTTCAGAGAGCTCAGGTGCAGGACTACAACCCCAGCCCCCCTGCCTGCCTGTACATGGGCAGGCAGCAACAGACTCCTTATCCTAGCGCCTTAGGGGCTCTCGAGCAAGGCAGCCCGCCAGACATTTCACCTTACGAGGTGCCTCCCATCACTGAGGATGCCGGGGTCTCCCACCTTCATCACCATCACCACCACCCTCATCTTCCTCCTCCCCACCAGGACGCGCTGCCTTTCGCAGACGGGGCCGACACAGGGGCTATAGAGGAGCCCCGAGTGCAGGTGCCTTTCGCCTGGATGAAGTCTACCAAATCTCATGCCTGGAAAGGACAGTGGACAGGTAAGCCCCGCAACCTTCCTCTGCCGCTGCTCCCCAGCTTTTCTCCCTCTCGGCGGTCAGGAACCCTCCCTTGCACCGGTCCTGTTCCCACCGCTCGGATGTACTGTGGAGAGGTCCTGGAGGGTCGCTTCCCCCCAGCCAGCCCCTCAAAACCCACTGCTCTACGGCTGCTGCTACCGTTGGGTTTAACGCAGGGGAGGGAGCCGACACTCCATTCCCCGCCGGCGGGCTCACCGCTCCCTGCTCCTGAGCAATTATTAACGAATTATTTTTCACCAATTAACTAATTGTGGCCAAGTCGAGACAATGTGCAAGCGCTTCCTGGGCGCTGCCGCCTCGCCAAGCACGGCGTGTCCGCGGGCGCGGTGAGCTCCACGCGGGGGCCGGGTCCGCGGAGGGCGAGGCCGGGGGTGCGGAGACACCTACCAGGTGGAGCGGGCGGGGAGCGGCAGGCAGGGCTGGCGGGCAGGGGACAGCCCCCAAGCCCCCGGCGTAGCCGCCGATCCCCTCTCCGCTGCCTCTCGGCTCTTCCCCTGTGCAGAGCCCATCTCCTGTCCTGGTCCCTCTCTCCCACCCCTGCTGCTTCCCGGAGCGTTTTAGCCATAATTGCACCTTTGCAAGTGAAAAAAACAGGGCAGGGAAAACAATGCACAAACGAAACAGAGCTGCCAGTGAGGGGAAGAAACTCTATCTAGGCAGAAAGTTCCGCTGCCCAACAATATTTCTGTCTCTGCCCGCACAATGTTATCGTGTCCTGCGCCTCCGTCACGCCTATACGGCAAATATTATATTAATGGCTTTGTTCAAATAGACAGTTGAAAAAAGGACCCGAGTATTAAAATCACCATGAAATAGTTTGGGAATTGCATGGGACAGACCGAAGGGGAGGGAAGGACAGGAGGCGATCCTCAGTCTCCAGGGAGGCGCATCTGCCGGCAACGGTTTAGGAGAGCACGCTGTCCCACGCTGCGGACACGGCGGTAGAGATTGTGCCAGGGAGGAAGTGGGGAGGGGAGGAGAGAAAATCAGGTAGTTTTCAGTAAGTTGAATGTACTTCGGAAATAATAATATTTAAAAAAAAAAAAAAAAAAAAAGATAAAGCCAAACTTTTGAACTACACCTTCTTTCTCTGTCTACTGTACCCAAGGAATGACAAAAACAGCAGAAAAGAGAAACTTTCCCCATGGAAGCCTAAAACTCTTCCCTGCTCCCCTCAGCCCTCCCGGGAGGTGCAAGCAGGGGCCCTGCATTACTCGGTCCGTGCGATGTGTGTACAGGCACACGCACCGCCGGGTCGGTCCTGCCGGAGTACACCCGCAAAGCTAAAGGGGCCCCGCGCTGCGCCGACGCAGCCCTGGTAGCCAAACCCCGACCTATTTTGTACTGTATACGCGGTAAACTATATAGCCCGAGGATTTATGGATGCTGCTGGGCTTTGCGTTGTTATTGCAAGGGAAAGTTGCCCAGAGAGGCCGCGGCGGAGCCCGGCCCTATATCACCCACCGTGCCCGGCTTCGGGCTCCGCCACCGGCCCGGGACTTGTCGGCCTCCGACAGACTCCGGGCGTTCCGCCTTCCCAGTAGCACTAGTTTATTTTACAGCAACAGAACAATTTTTTTTTTTTTCAGCTACAAACACATGCATACGGGTTTATACACAAGTTTAGAATTACAAACATTTTTATACATATATACGTTGATTTTAATATATATATTTATGCTTATACACACACAATACGATTTGTATTAATAAACATTACATATATTTAAATATATATTTAAATACATATGCAAGTTTACATAGGTTTATACTTACAAGCACTGTATAAATAAACATAAAATCATGGAAATAGGAAGATGAGCCGCGGGAGACTGCGCGTAGCTCTCTTGAAATGACTCTGTCTTTCTGTCTGTTTAAATCACCGTTCTCCACAGATGATATCACCCCCGAAAGCTTGACCAGCTAGGATCTGGCGCTGGCGAAAGCGGCCCTGAGTTTCAGTGCCCACCTCTGGCTCCCCTCGATGAGCCACCTGTACCACCTGCGCCCCAGTGCCGACACAGGCGGCCACACTGGGAATGGCGATTGCGCTGCGGCCACTTTTTACGGGAAGAAGAAACCCGAAGTTTCACCAACTTGGCGAAACGAAGGGGTTCCAGTCCCGCTCCCGGCCCGGCAGACCCAACATTTATTGTTGCTTTGTTATAGAGAGGTGGTTTTTTTTTTTTGGTGCGTTGGTTTGTTTGGAGTTTGGGGAGGGAAGGAGTGTTTTAGATAGGTTATTTTTTTCCCGTTTTCTTCTGATTTCTGTGTGTGTGGTGGGTTGTTGTCTGGTTTTCATTAGGTTGGTTTTTTTGTTTTGTTTTGTTTTGGGGTGTTGTTTTTTGTTTGGTTTTTGGTTTGGTTTTTTTTTAATTGGATTTTTTTTAACACGAATCTAACTATTGCAACCCTGGATCCGGGACCCCTTCGGAGCTTTTGGTGACACGCAAACGGTGGCACGTGAGCGTCTCCCACGGCTCGAGGGACGGCGCTTCCCCGAAAATCTCATCCAAATTACTGCTAAAAAATATTAAATTATTATAAAATAAAATAGCAGCAGTTGTGACTGCCGCCACGAGCACCACCTCACTGTGCCCAGCCGGAGAGCTCCCCGAGGCCTCTCCTTCACCCCGCTTGTTTCCCCCGCGTGTCCTCCATGCCGCGCAGGGGTGCAGGGATGTGGCCCCCGCAGCCCGATGGGGCGGCCGGCCGGGCCGAGACTGACTCTCGCTTCTCTCCAGGGGGTTCCTATGTAGTTGAACCGGAGGAGAACAAGCGGACGAGGACGGCGTACACGCGGGCACAGCTGCTGGAGCTGGAGAAGGAATTTCTCTTCAACAAGTATATCTCCAGGCCGCGGCGTGTGGAGCTGGCTGTCATGTTGAACTTGACCGAAAGGCACATCAAGATCTGGTTTCAGAACCGGCGGATGAAGTGGAAGAAGGAAGAAGACAAAAAGCGAGGGGCGGGCAACAGCAATGACCCCGAGCAAGACTGCGTGGTGACCTCCGGAGAGCTCCAGACCAAGGAGGATCTCCAGCCGTGCCCCGCCGGGAACCTGCCCTCAGGGGCCTCCAGGGACCTTCTCGCCCCCTGCCTAGCACCCAGAAGGCAGCAGGACTCTCGGTGAGGCTCAGGGAGCCCCACGCCCCGGGACGAGGAAAAGGATGGAATCGGGGAAAGAGCCGAGAGGCTGGCGCAGGCTTCCCGCCGCCCTGCTGTGCCGTGCCGTACCGTACCATGCCGACCCTCTCCCGCCTTCCCCCGGGGAAACTCGGTGCCTCCACTCCGACACTCGTGTCCTCCGAAAACTAAATGGAAGATGTTGAGCTGTAACAAGGAGAGGCTCACTGTGGGCCGCAGGGCCGGAGGAGGCCGCAGGGAGCCGCCGAGATGGCGGCGAGCTGTACCCCGCTCCGCCGAGCAATCCGCACCGCAGCGAGCCCTACGGGGCAGCTTCCCCCGGGGAAGGCGGGTTTCGGGTGGCCACCGACTGTTTGTGCAACCCTGGGTGCACGGAGCGGTCTGGGAAGCGGAGGAGAAACGAGGGCACGCCACCTTACCTCGAACGGCTGCCCGGTCGGGGCGCGCGTCCCGCCGTGTCCGTCGGTCCACAAGCGCGGATGCGGAGCGGAGCATCCTGGACCATCCACGTGCTGGCATACCACCGTCCCTGTCTCTTCCAGTGGCACCAGGGCATCGGCTCTACCGAGGACTCCTCGGGACTGTTACTTACTCCTTTGGAAACTGGAATCTTGTTTCTTTCGTTCTCTTTTGTCTTTGGGAAAGAAAGGGTGGGAGAGGGGGCGAAAGGGAAAAAAAAAAAAAAAAAGAGAAAGAAAAAAGGTTAAAAAAAAAAACCCTACTTGTTCTGCGGGCAGGATTTGACTACCCCGATGACCTGCTCCCGATGACGGGCACAGGCAACCAGACCCTTCGGACTTCGCCAGCGGCTGTAGGGACCCCGCGCTGCCCGCCCGCGGCTCCGCGCCCGTCTGGGCTCCGCGGTGCGCGGGGCTGCACTCGCCTCCTCGAGGGGTGAGTGCGAACACAGAGATGCAAAAGAAAATTCGCTGGTAATCTCCGGGAAACGAAGAGGTAGACGGGGCTGCGAGCCGAGAGCGGGACATTAGCGAAAAGCTCCTGCCTCTCTTTCAACTCTTCCGCGAGCTCGGACTCTGCCTTGGAGAGGAGAAACCTCCCTGCAGCACAAGCTCTTGTCCTGCGTGGTTTTTCTCTACAGACTCGACTTTACACCCCAGCAGAGGCTGGGGGCCCTCTGCCTCCCGAGGCACTGCAGAGCACCGGGGACTTTTCCTGGGTGTTATTTTTCGTACCGTCCCGGCGTGCGGGAAAGGCCGGCTCCTCCGGGCTGGAGAGGAGCGAGAGCCTGGCCGGGGCTTCCCTGCGGGGAGACGAGTTGTGGGGGCCCGCGCCGGTCGCCCCAGGCCAAGCCTTCTGTGCTGTGAGAAACAGCTTCCCCGTCCCTATAACGACTGGAATTTCAGCTAAGTGGGGAACAAATCACATCCAAACTACAAACAGAAAAGAGCCACTGAAAGGAAGTAGGAACTGTACGGTTTTCTGTCGATCAGGAGGATCTGCCTCCTCTCCTCGACGTGGAGGTTACTGCCCTGTACCCAGCAGCAGCAGCCCCTCGAACGTCCCTCGGGGTCCACCACAGTCCCTCCCGCGCTGGGGGCCCGGGCCACGGGAGGAAGAAAAGGAGGAGGAGGACAGCCTGTCACACCCTGACCAGGGGATGATACCAGTTCCTCGGCTGCAAACGAGGGGCAGAGGTAGTAGCTTGGCACAACTCTATGGTTTTTTTCACGTCTTACATGAGACTTTTAACACTAAGGTGGAGACTCGAACTGAAGGTGTAATTTGTCTGTTGCTTTTCTGTCCTTTGGGGACATTAAGGTCTGTGTGCAAACAGGAGCATTTCTGGTAATTTTTCCTGCAACATGTCTGAGAAATTTATCATCCAAGACTGCCTATCCTTATTCATCAAAACGCATTCAATGAGTGAGAACTTTTATTAATGATTATATGAGCAAAAATCGAATAAAGCTGTTCTGCTTAAGAAGTGAAGCACCACAGTAATTAAAGTAATATTTTTTAAATTTGGGGGGGTCATGAAGCCATTTTTAAACCTCAGCATTTCTAATCACTATTCATTAACATTAACCTGTCACTTGTAACATGCAGTGGAACCATTTCCACATACCTTTTACGATTTCTGGCACTGGACAGACAATTGCAGCTCGGGAGCCACTATAAAAACAGATCTAGCTGCAGGAAGTATGCCTTTCACAAAAATACCACGATTGTATGCTGTGATTTGTAGAGCACATTGGCCTAGGTGAGCAGCACACACTGTGGCTGAAGCATTACCTGTCCTTTCTCTAGTATAGTGCATTCAGTTTCGATTTTCTTTGTACACTGATGCGAAAGCAAAGAACTTGCACAATTTATTTGAATCGTTTGTCCACAGTATCAAGGTAGTATTTTTATTAATAGAAGCAGAATCAGACCTGTAAGGTTTAGTTTAAATGAATAAAGTATTTTTTTTCCTGAGAGTTGACATAGTTTATGGGTTTAGCACATATATATATATTTTTTCCACATTTTTACAACTGCACGAATGGAAAATTTAACATTAACTAAATTAAGACAGCTCTGGAACTTTGTAGAGCTAAAGATTTATGGTAACTTCACCTGACAGAACAGCCAGCCCTAGACAGTGCTGGAAAAAGGCAAGGCTGACATGGAGAGTTGTGCCGTCTCACCAAAAACATCCAGATATATCCATCTTCCTAGGATACACTTCCCTTATGGAATAGTGTACTATTTATATGTAATCACCTTTAACCTCAGGACAGGATTTCCACAAAACATTCTAAAAATACTTTTTAAATTAGGCAAGAGATGAAAAACTGAGATGTCTTTTTATTTCCTTCTTGGGCAATAGTGAAATCCTTTAGGTAGGTGTGGGAGACGTATGTCCGCAAGAATCGTATGTGTTCATTGTTAATTATTTTAAAGAAAAACCGAGCTAGATTACGGGCAATTTTCCCTTCCCTGGCTCTGGCATCCACTGCACCACAGACTGTAGAGACATCAGTTCTACCTACGTCTTCTGGGAAGATAAGTGAGGATGAAAGTCTTGACTGAACTTTGCACAGGCAGTATTTTTGCTGCTTCTACTTTGCTCAGATACACCCCCCAACACTGCAGTGAAAGCATTCTCCTGCTTCTGCACTACTGAGACATTGATTGTCATTCCATGAAAGACCACAAGGCAGGACCTCTCATTTCTCCAAGCAGGGCTGAGCATCTAAGGTGAACAGTACACAGCTAGGCCAAAGCTGGCAGGTCAGGGCTGCAGTCACACACAGGTCAGAATCTGCTGGCATCTGGGAAGCTACATCTGCAGCTCCTTTTGGGGCCATGCTTTAGCAGAAGCTAAGCAAGGGAAACAGGAGCTCATGCACACTCTGTGCTGACCCCTATTTTACCTCCTCCACATAGGATGATGTCCCAGGACCCTGCAGTGATGGCCATATGAAAAGTAGGATTGCAAGACTGTACTTGTCTCCTCAATTACAAACCCATATGTTTGCCTGAAAATCCCTCCATTTATGAATAATTATGACCATAAATCAATTCTGAAAGCAGTGATTTACCCTAAGTTGTGAAAATCTTTCCAGTCTGACGTTGAAGGCTGCTACCTCCCACGCTGTGGTTGCTGCTGCTGCCATGACCAGAGCTGAGGAGAGATGTTGCAGGCTGAGAGAAGAAACATTGTTCAGGAAGACTTCAGTGCTTTGAAATGCAACAAGGGATGGGATGCCAGCCCTGCAATGACCACCAAAGAAGGGACTGGTGGCCTGGGCAGTGCACCTTACAGTCTGTTCTCCAGATTGGACAGAGTCAGCTGGGGGTTAAATGCTGGGGTTCAAGGCTTATTTTGGGAGTAGAAAGAAATACCACTGGGCTCCCTTCACTCCCAATAGCTTATAGGGTTATTCTTTATGAGACATTTTCATATAAGCATAAGCAATCCATGCAAACACACATGCAAACACGTCTTCCAATAAACTGTGACTCAGAAAGCCAGTTCCCTCCCTGCTTTCTTCTACCTTGGATGGGGATAAGAATGGCTACATCTTCAAGGATATTTTTATATCAGTCAAGAATGTGTCTGGTTTAGCATCTAGGGAGGACAATCAAACACATACTAACAGTGAACATTTCAACTTTCACTTATCCACTACTTACGTTCATTTAACATTTATCATTTATCTTCATTGCTCCTGTCCCACTGGCTTCCAACAGCCTTTACAATATCTTTCTGTGCACCTTGCCAGCACCCATGTGTCCCGGCAGTGCTTTAGCTGTGAACCCAAAGAATGGTGGAGAAAAGGGGAAAGTGCATGGAGAGAGGTAAGGCTTCTCCTAGCCTCCACCTGTCTTCATCTCCTCTCCTCCTACCACTTGCTGTCCTGGTATGCAGCTCCTCTGTTCCCTCGTGTTTTTGGGATCACAACATGTGCATGAACAAATAAAACGCAAAGGAAATGAGCTGAGTCCTCTTTCTCCAGCATGCCTTAGTGATGAGTCAGGACTGGCCAGCTTCATTCATGTGGCAGGAAACGCATACACGTGGTTCCTCTACTATAAGGTCCAACACACTCGCTGCCTCATATCAGGGCTTGTTCCAGAAATATTTTGCTTCCAGCATCAGCACCCCTGGAAGGAGGAGAGGCTGCAGTTGTGCTGCCTCCACATGAGCTGCCTTTAGGCATGTTCACCAGAGCCTTGATGTCTGGTTCCTTCTGCCAGGATCCACTAGGCATAAGAGGCAGGGACCTTGTCAAACAGGTATATTCTTCATGAACAACCCAAAAATACATAGGAAGGGAAGAAATTCAAGAGATGAGAGTAAGCTAGACCAACAGACTAAGAATAGAAGCATCTCAGAGAGGTGTAGAACACTGGCAAAGAGGGGTTGCTGGGCTTTGTGTCGTGAAAGAGCTGATCTGGGTACAATGAGGTGGTGACAATGGCAGCTTTGTTTTCTCCCTGTTCTTTGATCCTGACTCAGGAGGAGAAAAGCATCTGCTCAAAGAAACCTTGGCACAGCGTGCTTAATATTAAAAAGTAAACCACATTTTGCGGTTTCAGAAAGCAGAGGTTATAATGGTTTGTGTCTCCACTTACAGGGCTAAACTTGATAGAGGATACTGGAAAAGTTGTCCCCAAGAGTGACTGGTAGCATGATGGTATTTTGTTTGAGCAGGGGCAACGTGTGCCATTATTTATTTAGGTATTTGCGTGCTTTGAACATTCCCTGTGGACCTCAGAACACTGAACAGAGGCAGGCAAAGATTAGTGACTTCACTGGTGTAAGAAAAAGTTGGAAACAGGAAACAGAGCTCCCCTTGGAGACAACACAGGATACCCTC